AACTGCTGTTGCTCAGAGCTCAAACTCTTGAGCGAGCTCTTAACCAACTGAGCCATTCGGCCGGCCCCTCTTTTAGTTTTTAAAAGAGTTTGGTGAAGGATTGCAGTTAATCATTCTTTAAACTTCATCAGTGAAGCAATATGGACCTGGGCTTTTCTTTGTAGGAAGTTTTTTATTACTAATTCAATCTCTCTACTTGTTTTAGGCCTAGTCAGATTTTCTATTTCTTCTTGAATCAGTTTTGGTAGTTGCTATGTTTCCAGGAATTTGTCTATTTCATCTAGGTTATCAATATGTTGACATGCAATATTTTATAGATTTTCCTTATAATCCTTTCTATTTGTAAGGTCCATTGTGACTTCTCCTCTTTCATTTCAATTTGAATCTTTTCTTTTCTTGGTCCGTTTAGCTAAAGGTTTTGTCAATTTTGTTAATCCGTTCAACAGAACAACTTTTGGTTTCATCGTTTTACTGTATTGTTTTCTAGTCTCAATTTATTTCCACTCTACTCTTTACTTATTTCATTCCTACTGCTGCTTTGGATTTAGTTTGCTCTTCTTTTTCCAGTTTATTAAGGTGAAGAGTTAGGTTTTAATATAGGCATTTACAGCTATAAATTTCCCTCTAAGTGCTGCTTTAGCTCCAACAAATAAGTTTTGGTATATGATGTATTTTTGTTTTCATTCATATGAAAGTGTTTTTAATTTCTCTTGTGATTTTTTTTCCATATGTGTGCATTTCTCAATTTTGCTCTGTAATTCGTTTCTAATTTCATTCTATTGTGGTCAGAGAACATACTCTGAATGATTTCAATCCTTTTAAATTCACTGAGAATTATTTTATGGCCTAACAGATGGTATATCCTGGAGAATGTTCCATATGCACTTGAGAAGAATGTGTCTTCTGTTGTTGGGTGGAGTGTTCGATAAACATCTGTTAGGTCTACATGTTTTATGTGATTTTCAAGTCTCCTATTTCCTCATTGATCTCTGTCTAGTTGTTCAATCTACTATTGGAAGTGGAGTACTAAGGTCTCAAACTATTATTATTAAATTGTGATTTGCCTTTAAAAATAACTTGTGTTACACCCTGATTTTAAGGGTGTAATTTTGTGAATCTGGAAAGTTTTCACTAACTCAAATAGCTAGTACTTAAGGAGGCCTCTGTGACGTCTACATTTTCCTCCCTCCTCTGCTGCATGAGTCCTTTGGTTTTCACTAGTACTAGCCTAAACCCCAGGTAAATTCATTTTATCAGGTCTAGAATAGATTCCTCAGATGTTCCAAAATGAAGCAATATTACTAGTCTAAAAATAACTGCAGAGAGACTTGTGGCTTAAAACTAAAAGGAAAGCTGTGAAGATACTTAAAAGGTGGTGGAATATAGGACCAGATTAACCTTGGGTACCTAATAAATGCAGATTCCTGGGCTCCATTCTAGAACTACTCAATCAAAATTTCTCAGGGCAGGGCCCATAAACATGCATTTTAATACTTCTCAGGTAATTCTTATACACACACGAGTCTAAGGATCTGGATTCTGATTGATAAGAGTACCAAGAACATTCTCCTAAAGGGACATTTATCTTTAAGAACACATTTCGGGAGTTCATGGAAATGAATACTTAGATATTTTCACAGAAATAATTAAAAATAGACCCTGTTTCAGAACCTGTACTACCTGGGCAGATTATTCTGGTATTGAGTACGGGGAGGTTTTCTTTGCTGGCTGCCACAGTTGGACCAGGGCCAGAGTCAGTTTGGGAACGACTTGCCCGACCATCCGGAGACCGAGGTGCAGTTTTAACTGTTGGCAAAAGGTGCATATTAAAAAGAGGAAATGCTAACACTATAAAAATAAGCAAGCCCCTATAAATTCCAGACCTAAAATAATTTAATACATGTTTAAATCAATCAGTGGAACTGAAAATATTACACTGTGCTTACTGATTCTTTTATTATTTTGTTTTCATTTTTTTTTTTTTTTTTAGGTTTACTATTTGGAGGGACTCTGCCACAGGCAGATATCTTGATCTCTCATTTCAAATAGATGGAGGTCAGCAGAAAAGAGATACCAACCATAATTACAGGTCTGCAATACTCACAATTTGAATGTGATCACCACATTTAAATATAAACAGAAATTCTGAAACTGATAATTTTGAAAATGAAAATGAAACATGTTATAATGTATATTATCAATGCAGTCCTTGTCTCAGAAATGTTAGGTGAATTATCAAATTTAATTAATTCCCAGAGCTAATATGTGAAACATGAATTAACATTTTCTTCTATAGGAAGCAAAAATGGCATTTTTTTTTCAAATGAAAGCAATATACTTTTCCTGCACTTCTCAATTATTTATTCAAAGCTATTTGTCCCAAACACTTCTATCATATGTTTGTAAAAGTTCAATACATTTTAAAAATTGCTCCAAGACAGAATTACTCTAAGTTAACAACAAAAAGAGAGGTTTAATTCTACCTAATCAGGGGCATTTTAAAGCAGAGCAAATAGTATGTTTAACTAATTTAGGAGCTATTGGCAAATGTTTGAAAATACAGTAATCCTCAAACCCAATTTAAAAGTACCCTAAAACTTAATTATCTTTACTTACCCTAAGACTAATTACAAACTAACTATATTAATCTTACACTCTCTTCTCTCCCTTCAAAAACAATCCAATTGCACTAAAGAAAAGCAGCAAAGCACTCGTTTTTTGTTTGTTTTTTTTTTTTGGACATATGGGAGTCCTGGGGCTAATTTTTAATAAAAACAACCTTTTGATATTCATCTGTGATAAAAAGCAGAGTGTCCTAGTGACTAAGACTGATGTTCAATTGCACGTAAATAAATTAATGCTTCATGGTTCTTCTTAAACATCTCATTAATCTTATTAACATGCTATATTTTACACATCTCAGGCATATGAATTATTACACAAAACAGTGATAATACAATGAGTGTGCTTCAAAAAAATAAGGATTACTTAATATAGAAATACTTCTATCGCCGAGTCCCACTAAATTGGGTTACTAGCCAAAAAATAAGACCCAATAGTGCACCATTAAAGACTTACATAACCTATGTCTATTTCAATGTCAATATCTATAGCTCTGTATCTCTATTTTTGTTTCCTTTGCAGACTACAATGAAGTATCAAGTTCTTGAGAGTATAGTAAGGTGCGACAGTAGCTGGCTGAAAAACCATTAGCAATGAATGCTGAAAAACCAATCCTCCAAAGAGAGCCATTACCTTAGGGGGATTCATCTAGCTGCATATTGTAATATTGCCATTGTCAGCCCTGCCGGAGTCAACATCTTTTAATGGACGAAACATACAAGCTCTGCTTATCGAATGTCACATGAATTAAACTCGAGATGATAGAATCAAGCGTCAAAAGACTCTGACAAGGTGAAATGATAGATCCAAATCAAAAAGATAAAAATTCATAGGGATGAGTGTACACTACTGTAATTAGGTTAAAAAATCACTTGCACAAAAACAGGAGGAAGAGATCAGGTTTACATAGCACCACCATTTAATCCTTCAAGCCAGAAACTTTGGGTAGCCTTTACAACATCAAAAATGCCCAGAGCGAGTGGTGTATGGGCATCGGGGTGCTACTATACCACAGAAATGTCAGGAGAATGTTGTTCAAAATGCGCATATTTGCAGTTAAACTTGACCAAAAGGGTGCAACTAAAACAACAAAAAGTTTGAAATCATCAAGTCAATGATTGATAGAGGAATTTAGGAGAGATAATCTGGGGAAAAAGGTGTCAGGTATGGAAAGAGGATATGGTGCTCTAAAAGCTGTTTTCAGTGCCATTTAAGGGGTGTCGCACAGAAGTCAGCTTCAACAGAGTGGAACAATGTGTGAAATTGCTTTTAAACTAACCATAAAGCACTGCACAAGTGCCACTAGTCATTACTGTTAACATTAGCACACATACAACTTTATTAATAATAATTGTAATCATGGGTAGAAATTTAAGGAAGAAAATATAAAGCTCAATATAAAGAAAACTTTCTAACAATGAGAGCTGACCATTAAGAGTAGGATGCATTCAAAGTGAGTTTGGACCAATGAGCCTCTGTCCAGGGAGTTATCAAGCATACTTGCTCTGGATCACAGGCTCCAACAGGGACATCCAAGGACGAAAAGATCTGCGGTTACAGAACTGGGTTGTGTGTTGCAGTAGCTACATATTCTGTCTCAAAGGGCTAAGGTTGTAGATTGTGCATGCACTGGTTGTATGCCAGACATGTGAGGCCTGTAAGGTCTAATTTTCAAGTTTCTAAGGGTTTTAAATATAATTGAGAAATAGTCTTTCAAAGTTAATATAATTAGTAGCAGCAGCAGTGACAGTAGTAGCAATAATAAGGATAACGGCAGCAAACACTCTTCCAGTACTATGTCCCAGTCCCTATTCTAGACACTTTATAGATTTTAACTTATTTAACCCTTTTATCCCCATTTTACAGATGAGGAAAGTACAGAGAAGTTAAGTAATCTGGCCTAGTTTAAATATAACGAAAATAAAAATTTAACGATTGCAAAGTTCTCATATGTTGACTTTTCATTAGTGCTATGTAATTATTTTCATATTTTCTAGCTTCGTTAATATTTTAATTCCTGCTTTGTTTTAGTCTAGTAAATTAATTTTCCATTACACAGTATATTAAAAGTATAAATCCATCCTCAATTCAAACCTAAAAGGTAGAGAAATAGTTAACATTCTTCCAGCAACTACTTCTTAACTTACTGGCAAAAATAATTTCAGTAGAGAAATATCTATCATTTTAAGGCCTAATTTAGCAATAAGGATTATCAGCCACCTCTGATGATCAATGGAACTCAAGGGACTGATGAATTATTTAAATGCTAAATTTTATGCACACAGGCCCTGCAACTTTCATATAATTCTCAAAGGAAACTGTGGGCTAAAATAGGTTAAAATCTGCCGATTTAGGTGTTTGCTCCTTCATTCTTCAAGGGAAATTAAGATATTTAGGCATATTGGGTCCCATGATTCTTAGTTTACTATGATAATCTCTAGATTACATGATAATAAGGAGATGTGAGAGTACTTGACAACAGTCTAAATAATGTTACCTTTTTGTTTTAGTATCATGAATATCTAAGCTTTAAATTCTACTTGAAGATAAAAATACAAATAGTTTATTTCAAATGGATAAACTTTTTGAAAACTAAAAGCGGAATTACATTTATTTAATTCCAAACAATTTTATCATAGTTTTCTTACCAGTTAATGACTCTTTTGTGTCATCATCTTTAGATTCTTCTTTCGATTCATCTGTTTCTGTACTATCATAATCAAATGACTGATTAACTGGTTCACAGGGGTGAACTGTCTGGTCATCCATAACTTTAAGTAGTAAGAAGATAAATATGTTTGAACAAGTAAAAGTGAAATCCATAAATATTAATATATGCTTAGAAAAAAACTGGAAACATCAACCAAAAGAAATTCCATATTCACAAACAAACACTAATTGGCAATGAACTTGGGAGTAATGTCTATAAGTACTAAAGATTATAAAATTAAATAAATTTGTCAAAATTACATTTTTATTAGAAGAAAAAGAAAATATAAGAATTTTAGAGAACATAATACAAATCCAATTACAAGTTACAACCTATAAAGGATTTCTGGATTATTTATATTAAAATTAAGTTTAGTCTACTACGAAAATTCTAAGAGAAGTATATATATTATATTAATATAAAAAGTAAAATCTAGGCAAAACTTTCATAAACTCTTACAAAAGCAACATAAACATTTAGGGAAGAAATGTTAAGAAAATATTTTCAAAGTAGTTTACAGGTTTGATTTTCACTTAGAATTTAACAGATTCCAATTAAGTAAAAAAGATTTAAAATTTTAGAAATAGTAATTTTCAATTTTATTTCAGTGTTTCCAGAGTACCTTATTTCTGGGATTTTGTTTTATGTATCATTAATATGCTGATCCTTACTACTCAAATGATAAATAGGACTAAGTATACATTTCACTGTAATGGTTCTATCTTCTATCTTAAAAAAACATTTTAAGTGTGTCCAGTCTGACCCGTATGGAAATTTCATTGCACTTGTGTGAGAATGTTGCTAACTTCTTCAAAAGCTAATTTTATTCATTTGTACCTTTTCCAGCCTCTTCAATGACTTGCCTCACTGCTTTCTTTAAACTGTTTGCCCGCAACATTATTTCCTTTGGTTTGATGGCTTTCTGGGAGGACGGTTTTGTAGTGTCATCCAAGAGCTGCTCCCTGCTCTCACACAAGGATTCCTCGCTTGAAGATTCCACAGTATCTTCTTCTACGATGCGAGGGCTGATGCCTGGGAGAAGTGGAGCCGCCTGGGAATCCGTGTGCAGAGCCTGGAGCAGTTGTTCGAGCTTCTCGTTTAGCACTGAACACTAAGAAAACAGAATGCGTCATGCATCTCCACTTTGTGTAGATGGAAAACGGTATTTTAAACGAATGGCTTCTGATTTGAAAGGAAAGATGTGATATTGATGTGTACCCTAACTGGCTATTACAAGTTATACTTTAGACAGCCTATGGACTAAATAACTTATAACTGTAAAAACAAAGTGGTATTCTTATATAAATTTATTGATTTATACTTCTAGAACCTTTCAGATTCCATTTCATGTGTGAAAATCTTTGCAATCTTTGTATAGCTATTTTTTCTTAAACAAACACTTTCCTATAAAATGAACACATTACACAAAAAAAATTTTGTCATACAAAATTTGCTACACATTATACAAATGATAGCATAAACACTTTTTCAAGGTAATCAACTTATGGTACCATTTTGGCATCACACACTGCAGGCAGGCTGAGTCTTGGAAAGCTCACCTTCAAAGCTTTGGTTTGCAAGGATTGAACAGTGCCTAAGGAATTACTGGCTTAAAGTAAGAGCAAAAAGGAAACGCACAAGGATAAGAAGAGAAAGAAGGGAGATGCAGAAAGAAAAACAAGCCTCGTCCATGTGTCTTTCTGCTTTTCTTGAATTACCAAGGGTAAAGAAACGTTTAGGACTGAAGCTGTTGATGCTACTGCCTAACATAACTTTTATCTCCACACAACTTCCAATTCTCTCCCCCTACATTTGTCTTTGATGACACGCCAAGACAAAAGTTACAGCAGCAAGAGGGAAGAGAAAAAGTGTGACTAGAAAGAGTTTCTGTTTTCTGAAGCTCTTCACAGAGTAGACAAACATAAGAGGCTGAAAACTTCAAATGCATTTTTATTTCAATTTTCCTTTCCTTCTAGTCAATTAAACTACCATCTACAGCCTAAATCTGGGGAGAACATTCCTTTGCAAGCCCCAGAGAGCTAAGCCTTTTCTAAGAAGCCCTGGCATAACCTCAAGAAAGCGAAGACAGTAGCTTTTAAGGCTCAGTAAACTGCTCTTATTTTACGTCAGAAAGTTCACTAAGGGGAAAAAAATCTATCAAGATAAAGGTAATGAAGAAAGAGAACCCTGAGTGGGACTGAGGACCGTCAAGTCTGGGCAATCTGAGAAACTGCTGGGAGGGAACTTGACTGATCAAAGTTTTCCTAGAAATGGAAAGCCATTCCTCTCCCCATGGAAACCCCAGCATTCTCCCCAATGACCCGATTATTGGGCTTTTCTTCTATGAGTGTCAATCAGTGGGGAACAGGGAGTTGCATTATAAAATTCGGTTTGTCATAAAATTCGGTTTGTCAAATGGTCATCAGCAATGCAGTTTTCCTACATCTTAAAGGATAACCGTGAAATAGAATGTTTTTAAACCCTCATATCTGATCCAAAAGTCACTTTTCTCTTGATCTATGATGTTTGGGCAAGAAAGTCACTTAATCAATTTAGCTGTAGAACCAGTTCAATGTTAACACGGTAAGTAAAAACTCTGAAGCCCGGACTGTGTGTCCTTACTTTACTGGCCACGGAATCGGCTACCACGGCATTTTCCAACGTTTTGTCATATGCCTTCTCCACTTTGGAGACGAAGTCCTTCACGGTTTCACACAGTGTCCTTTGAGGAAAAGAAATTGTGCAATTTGGTAAACTCAGTAGGCTGATTTGCTTTGATTTATAAACATATTAAAAATAAGCACAACTACGCAAGCTGTCAAAATACTGCGATCATTTGTATGACAAACCCACTTCTGTCTGCTGTATGACACGTCCTAGGTAAGTTCAAGGCATTCTAAGTGATGAATGGATACACGAATAAACCTTGCTCTACATAATTTAAATAAATGTAATTTTAAGGTAATAACAAGCCTTTATCAAATATTTAAATTGTATCTTGGGAAGACTATGTTTAGATCCCGTTTTAAAAAGCATTATTTCCTACACACTGTGTATTTTCATAATAACAGGACTTGCAGTGTTGAACCAACAAGGATAAATTTGTCACTTATGTTGTCACTGTCGCTCTACTATTCATCCTGTGGGTATCTTGATAATAACATTGTTCCTGAAAATGAGGTTTTATGATACGCGAGAAACTGAACTGTCACTTGAATTGAGTCAGAGTTTCTGTAAATTCATTTTTTTTCCTTAAGCTAATA